TATTATTATTATTATTATTATCATCATTATTATTATATGTCAAAACAAGAATCTGTTGATGGAAAAACATTAAAAATTTCAGTTTATTCTCCACATTTTGCATCAATTGTCCCAATCAAACTTGCTTATTTAACTTTCGTCCTCGCAGGCGTCAGCTGTTCCGACGACGACGAAAAGCCTCGCAAACGAAGACGCACCAACTCGTCCAGCTCGTCTCCGGTGATGCTGAAGGAAGTGCCCAAGGTGTCCCCGTCAGTGTCCAAGAACATCACGGTGCCGGTGAGCGGCAGCCCCAAGATGAGCAACATCATGCAGAGCATCGCCAACTCCCTGCCCCCTCACCTGTCCCCTGTCAAGATCACCTTCACCAAACCCGCCATCCAGACCACCAGCGCCGCCACGCAGAAGGTGAGCGCGTTTCCCTTCGTGCTTCTCGTCTAAAAACGCCAGTTTTAAAAGTCTCRTGTTCCGTCCAGGTGATCATTGTGACGACCTCTCCCAGCTCCGGCTTCGTGCCCAACATCCTGTCCAAGTCTCACTCGCACAACAATGCCGCCGCCAAGCTGGGCTCCACCTCCATCCTGACCATGCCCACCCAGAAACAGACGATGGTCTTCCCAGCCAGCTCCTCCTCCAACACCATCGCTGTGACCACGGTGGTCTCCTCCACGCCGTCGGTGGTCATGTCGACCGTGGCGTCGTGTAGGTCCCTCACAGAAAACGTTTTATTATTTTAGAGAAAAAAAGTTACTTCAATAAACAAGAAAACAGTTAATTAATATTAATTTGAAATGAGTTTTATGAACAAATCTGATCTCTCAGCAGCAAGGTTAAAATTTCATTTAGTTTTAGTAAGTTTTGTAAAAAGATTAGTTAGTTAATCATTTTTTCATTTTATTACAGTTTTTATTTATTTGTTTTATTTATTTATTATTTACATAAAATGTTTTCAATTTCAGTTTCCGTCATTTAGTTAGTTTTAGTTAACTATAATAACCCTGCTCAGCAGTCGACTCCCACCTTTGGACTTAAAGTAAATGTTTAAATCTAGACACAAATCTKTTATTTTACGCCTCCGTTTATCAATAATGTACAACATGTTGGATTTATGATCATGTGTGTTTAAATACAAAACTTTCAAATAACAAAATGTATTTGAAGTCTTAATCAAAAATTTCAGGAAATAGGACCAAACAGTTGCTTTCAAACACATCAATCTGAATTAAAAGTTTCTGTTTTCTGTGGTTTGGCCCCTCTGATCACATCATCATCATCATCCTCATCGTCTCTATTTCAGGTGCTGCTTCTGCCGGAGTGAAGGTGGCGTCGGCCAGACTGCCCTCACCAAAGACCCTGGTGGGCTCCCCCACTCAGATCTTGGCTCAGTTCCCCAAACAGCAGTCCCCCAAACACCTGCAGCAGGGGTCATCTTTAGGAGCCCCCAGCATGACTCAGAGCCAGACCAGCACCAACCCTCCAGGAGCCAAACCCACCATCCAGATCAAGCAGGAGTCTGGTGAGGATCACCAGCTTCACTTCCTGTTTGATTAAAAGTTCTAAATACCAAACAGCAGCTGTTTTATTTGATGCGTGGCTTTAAAATAAACTCTAAATGAATTATTTTCTTCATTCAGGAGTGAAGATAATCACTCAGCAGGTGCAGCCCAGTAAAATCCTGCCCAAACCCTCCTCTGTGGCTCTATCCAGCAGCAGCTCTTCGCCCATCATGGTGGTCAGCAGCAACGGCACCATCATGACCACCAAGCTGGTCACTCAGCCGACAGGTGAGGACCTGAACTTTCCTGTCTTTTCTTTTAGGATCCATTTCTAAACTCTCTCTGTGCGCGAAGCCACCCAGGCCACGTACACCAGACCCACGGTTAGCCCCAACATCGSCACCAGGATCTCGGCCTCCAGCGGCGGCACCACCTACGTCAAAACCACCAGTGGCAGCATCATTACGGTGGTCCCCAAGTCTCTGGCCTCCCTCGGCGGGAAGATCATCAGCGGCAACATCGGCTCCGGTGAGTCTGTGCTGCCCCCTCGCTCGGTGGCGCCTCTGTCGCCCGAGTGACCMGAGTTTTTTTTAAAAAGTCTTCTGTCGCAGGGACAACCACAAAGATCACCACCATCCCCATGACGTCCAAACCCAACGTCATCGTGGTGCAGAAAACAACCGGCAAAGGAGCCACCATCCAGGGCCTGCCGGGGAAGAACGTGGTCACGACGTTATTAAACGCCGGGGTGAGTCGGACATCCTGACAAACGTTTAGTGTGGATGTTGTTATCTAAAGGAGGTGACATAATCCTGTGTGTGTCTGTATATGTGTGTGTGTGTCAACAGGGTGAGAAGAGCCTGCAGGCGGTCCAGGGGACCAAACCGGCCATCATCACCACCACCAGACCCATCACCAAAATGATCGTCACGCAGCCCAAAGGCCTGAGCTGCGGCTCCCAGTCCACCGCCACCAAAATCATCCCGACCAAGATCGTCTACGGCCAGCAGGGCAAAACACAGGTGAGACCCGTTCAGGTACTGCGGCAGCTGAATTCTAACGAAACACWGGGTCATCTGACCGTTTAAACACAGAGGAACAAGTTTTAAATGTGAAACRGCTGTTTTTCTATGGAAGACAACTGTTTTTTTTTATAGTCACTTCTATCACGATGTCTGCATTAAACGTTTCCCTGAGAAGTGAGAGTTAGTGATAAACTTAACGAGAAAAAAACCCRTTCTATAAACGGACTAATGTATAACAGAGCTTCAGCTCTCAGCTTTTCTCTTCCTCCATTTTACTTCCTGAAATCGGGGAGAGGAATGAGTCCAACAAATCGTCTGCTTCCTGTYGCTCCAAACTGCAAAAATAAAACAATGAAATCACCACCGAATTCAAGCTGGTGAAAATGGTTCTTGTGGTGGACCTTATGTAAATGAAGCATCTGTTTCACTTCAGCTTGTTATTATTCATTTAACGTTTATTCCCTTGAAACTAACAGGTGAGGGTGTCTGGTAAATAGTTTTAGAAACTCCTCGATGGTGATCGGGGAAAATAATGGTGTTTTCTTTTTTCTTTCTTTGCATTTTCCCATATTTAAAAACCCCCAATTAAGAAAATTACCATCTATGTTTATATCTACAAGAGAAGCATTTTGTTTTTTTGAGCAGTTAGACGTTCATCTTTTAAACATTTTAATCCAGGTTAAATAGTCAGAAAACTGGTTTAATTGGCCTAAAAAAGAGAAATTCCTTCGTTTATTTAAGACTGCAAACTTTTATTTTGAAATTTTGATGAACAAAATGAGCAAAAGGCTAAAAGCTAATTTAGGGATGGGCTGATTGAAGTTTAATGTTGAGTAAAATTAAATTAAATGTTAAAATAAACTCTAAATAAAATGGGTTTTTTTGTTCATTCAGGAGATTGTGTGCAATCTATCCTTAAATCATCCATGTCAACTCATGTTAAACTGAAAATTTGGTGATTTTAACACACCCTAGTATCATAATCAGACATTAGGTGTTCAGGGGGAGATTTTAAAACACTCCTTTGAACAGATTCTGTAGAATCACTGTTGTAGGATTTGAAACTTTACCAGAAGACAAAAAATAAACGGCAGCTCTATGTGATGGTTTTACTAAATCCCCTAAATTTCCTCAAATATGTTTGATTTTTGTGTGTGTTTTCTCTATATATAAGTTAAAGATGCATGCGTCTGATCTTTCCTCCAGTCTAAATTTAATTCAGTTCTCAGTCATCGGGGGAAATGATGTTTAAATACAGTAGAAACAGTTTTAGACGCCCACGCAGACRTTTCAGTGGAAGCTTCAAAGTCTCYGAACAACAGCACATTTAGTAATTGTTCTGTCTGCAGCAAAAATCTAAAATAATCTGTGACAAAATCGGCTCCAGTTGATCAGTGTTTGCTTCCTGTCCATGACTTTACACTTCACAAGGAGATGACGTACAACCGGTGACGTCTAGAGGTGACATTTACACATCAGGTTTAAAGGAATTCAGTTTTTATATCGCAGAGTTTCTCTCAGGGAAGGGTGCAAAAATATTCACGTGTTAGAAAATGTGAAAGTTACCTAAGGAAGCCAGGCGATTGTGTCAAATCTTTTGCCACRTCTCCTGACTGACGTGTTGGTGACAGAGGGAAGAAACAACTTCCTTTTAACAGGAAGAAACCTCCAGCAGAACTAGAACTGGGTTCAGGCTGGGCAGTTTCAGCGTACGCACGATTTCATACGTCTGAATTTATTTGTCTGTACACAGTTTTGTTCATTTGTCCRTACGCCACGTTTCAGTAAGAAACCCACACAAGTCTTTGTATTTGAGACCTCAGATGTGGTTTCTGTAGGAAAAAAGATGAAGAAAAGCACATTGATGATGGGAATAATTAGAAATACAAACATGGAGCGTAGAACAGGTAAAGAGCAGCTGTAGCAGCAGAACTAAGGGATACCCTAATAAACCCAAACCAACCCTAACTGTAGGATTTATCAAAAAGTCTTGTCTTAAAAATATCATAAAGGAAAGACCTAAAAGTCRTAGAGTGTCAGCCTCACAGACAGAAACTGGAAGTTAAACCCTGAGAACTGAAATCTCTGCCTCCCRTTTTAGAAACTCTAGGATCCACAAGTAAACCTGCTGTCTGAGAAAGAAGTGCTCTGTTGSGAAAATATGGAACAATAGGATTTTTACATATAAGATGGATGGTGAAATATTAAGAAAATGTATCATTTTCAGAACTGAAGTCTCTGCCTCCCATTTTAGAAACTCTAGGAACCACAAGTAAACCTGCAGTCTGAGAGCAAAGTGCTCCAAAACGCTACACAGCTAAAGAACAGTCAGATTATTTGAGTTGCTACTGAGTTCTGATGGCAAAGCAAGTACAAAGGAGCAAATTTGAACAGATTTGGTTTAAAACTATTAAACGTTTTGTTATAAAAAAAACACGATCAAACTACTTTATTATTTAACTGAGGCTGTTCAGTAACCCATCTTCTACGTAGGAAATGACTGGGGTTACTTTAAAGTAAAATACTTCCAGATTAAAATCTAAAGTTTTTAAAAAGGTAAAAGATTYGGAACAGGACCCCGGTTGTCGATGATCAAGTTCCCCTTTTCTGCTTCTCCATCCAGGTTCTCATCAAACCCAAACCAGTTTTCCAGACGGCGATGGTAAGCGAACAGACCCGGCAGCTCGTCACAGAGACCCTGCAGCAGGTGACCCGCTCCGCAGAGGTCAGCCAGGGTCAGACCTTGGGCCCGGACGGATCCAGGAAGGATGAGACCGGCAGCCTGATGGAGGCCTGCAGCCTAACAGGCGAGGCCTCCCAGAGCAGCACTCAGGGTACAGTTTTCTCTAAAAGTCCTGTTTTTATCTCTTCTTTTGTGTGTAAATGTTTTCCTGTTAAATCAAAACTTCAGACTATTTTTAAGAAATATTTGGGAGTTAATTTCTTCCTGTCCTGGTGTTTTTCTGTCCTCAGAGGTGCCGACTGTAGTGCACGTGCTGTCCTCCAGAGAGCAGGATTGGACAGAACAGGAAGTGGCCGTGGAGTCCAGCCCCACCATAATTTATCAGGAGGTGTCTGGAGGGGAATCCCAGTCTGCCACTTCCACCATCAAAGCTCTGGTGGAGCTGCAGCAGACTTCAGGTGAGGCGACGAGTCACTGAAACCCTGCAGGTGTTTTCATGAGGGCTGATTGTTTACATGTACACAACAACTCTGAGCTTTACGCTGCTCTTTAAATATAAATAATCCTGCTCCATGCCRGATGTTAATGAGATCCAAACCAGTGGAACAGGGTATTTTTTTTWAAATTGGTGCACAAAAAAAAAAACTTCCACATTTTAGGGAGGAAATGTTTTTCACACCTACTTGGAGTTATACAYGTGTACATAGTTTACAACTATTAGAGATCTTTGTCTAATAAAAAAAAAGAAAAATCCCCCGGGGAAAAAAGGGGTAGATTCTTGTTTCAACATGATTGTTCAACACGTCCACCTCTGATCACAAATAATCCCTGCTGTTGCTGTAATCAGCCGCTCTAACTGTAAACAGGATCAGCTGTTAAAGGGGTATGTTTAGTTCCACAGACACGGGCGAAAACACGACCGCTCGCCACCAAAATACGAGCGACCACGACGAACACCAGAGTCTCGTTTTGTGTAGAACTCCTTTGTCCAGTAACTGAACACAACGTGGTGAAAAACTGTTAAAAAATAACCCTCAGAGGTTCATAGTACAGACCCACGTGGGCTTGTTTACATCTTTGTTTACTTGATTTTTCTCTCCTAGCAATCAGTTTAAAAAAAAAAACAAAACATGAAACAAACCTGATGATCTGCTTCGTGTGTTTGGCTCATTATGAGCTCAGCAGGGATTCTTTACATACCTGTTTACCTCCAAGTTAAAAAGGAAAACAAACAATTTTTTTAAATTAGGTTCTATACTTATGAACAATCAACATCTTACCTGTTGCAGATAGACCTTTGAAGGACCTCAGTTTGCAGAAACTGATTGTTTCTGACTGGATTAACAAACTAATCAATAAGTCTGAGCAGGTCAGTTTTTGGTTTGGGGGCTATTTTGATGGAAAAATAATAATAATCCTGCTTGAAGTGCCCTGAAATGCTACAGCTAACTGCTGCTGTTGCCAGTCACACTTTAAAACAAGAGCCTAGAGTTTTATATACACTAGAGTTACACTAAGTTGCATTTTCTGCACAAATTATAGTGCGAATGCTAAAAAGTAGTTAAAGACTGGCTACAAATAATTAATTACTGTCTGAAAAGCTTTAAAAAATAAGTTATGTTTAAAAGAAATACATAAAGAATTACAATAAAGAGTCATATCACCCAGATCCAGAGTGAGATTTTTTATAAAAATGACAAAACTGAAAAGTGTGCAGAAGCAGATAGATTGCAAAAAACATTCGGAAAAACAAAGAAAGTAGCTAAATGTCTAAATTGACAGCAGTATAAGGGTTAAAAAACAGCACCTAAATATATTTTCTGGCAGCATCAATGCACAGACTAGCCGTTAGCTCATCAATCTGGTCAGAGTTTAACTATTTCTCCAAACAGAGGTTGTTTAAAAAGCCATCTACAACAGGTAAGATATTGATTTTTCGCAACCCAAAACCCCACTTCTAAAAAAATCTGGATTTTTCACTTTAAAAGTCCAGAAAACTGTCAAGAGATCTTATTTTTCAAAACGTTTTTCCACYGAACAGTGAAGGAGAAGTCAGAGCCCAAACCCAAGCAGCACACCATCGACCTGAGTCAGATGGCGGTCCCCATCCAGCTCCCACCGGAGAAGCCCGGTCCCCAGTCACCCAGACCGTCGACCTCRGAGGCCGAGCCCAGCGCCGAACCGGTCGCAGCAGGTACCGCTAAAAATAACCTTTACGCCGCCCACTTCCTGTTTTGGCATGGTCGCCAACATTTTCAGTAGAAAGAGGCGAGTTTCAGACGAAACCTCAGATTGGCATGCAGTGGAGTCCGCTTCTCTTTGTGTGTGTGTGTGTGTGTGTGTGTGTGTGTGTGTGTGTGTGTGTGTGTGTGTG